CCTAGGTCTCTGTCTGAAGTCCTGTCAGTTATCCACAACGCGGTGGTCACGGAAATGCATTCAGGATTTCTCAGTCCGAGGGAGCGGAGCTTACGCTGGCAACCAGGGAAGGGTCTGAGCTTTGTCCCTGGATCTGACCAGTGCCATCTGCCTGACAGCTGAACTACATTAATGACTGGTTCATTGCAGTCATATTAATATAGTCATAGAGCTCGATATAGTCATATTAACGACTATACTAATACCTGGTTCTTTGCATGCAAACAAACCTTCAGCCAGGTAATCACCCAGCTGCCCATTTGGAAAGACAGACCCTTGGCCCAGCTCCCATCGCAAAAGGAGAAATCCTAGGAGATGCCGCCAGCGGGAAGACAACAAGGACGTTCACGTTCAAGGAGCTGCTCCCACCGGCAGCTCTCAGTCCATCCCACCCATCTGCTGAGCAGCGGATCACCTTTATGAGACGAGTGAGGAATAGGATACACGGGGGTGATTCCAACCTGCAGAGATCTGGGAACACCCACAGTTTCAAAAGGCCAGGCTGATGCTGAAACCTTGCTTGAAATATTTGGGAACAACTCATAAATACAGTGAATGTGATCAGTGAGCTCCTGGCTGTCAGATGGCTGGCCAGGCATTACCAATGACCTTCCGTGGGCGCATCACGCAGGGCAACACCCAGGTGGTAATCTCAAGAAGAATCACCCTGAGAGTTATCCTCCCTCACAGAAATGTCTTGGCCAGATGTCCGACAAAAGAAGGCCACACAACCTTGAAACATTTTCAGACATCAACAGAAAGGGACGGCACAGCTTGTGGAGAGTAGGCCATATTCAAAGCAGACGGGTTTATCCGGAAATACGTTAACTGCTGCTGAAAGCAGATAGCTGGATACTAGAAATACCTCCGCAGCCAAGAGAGCTTATTCCTTAGACACAGGCAACACTCGACGGATCAGTAGGAAAGAGGAATACGGTAATTCTCGGTAGCATATGATAGGAGTCCTGCGGAAACCTTCCCGGGCCACCTGCCTGCAAAGCGGACGGACCAAACCTGATCCAACAGACAAATGGTAGAAATAAAGATGGTTTTTGAGTGTGGCCTGTGCCTTGTCTTTAGAGCAGACAGAGGACAGAGCAGTTGAACTGGAGCAGTCTCCGTTGTTTACTGGCCGATAGCAAAACTGCTATGAAGAGACCCAAACTTACCTGGGGGTGGGGGCACACGTTACTTTGCACACAGCGCTCACCTTAAATGATGGGCACAAAACGAGTTGTTACTTTGGCTATAGATAGAATTTTTTAATACTCCGCCTGGGCTCAGCAGCAATACAGCCAGCTCAAAGGACCAGCAGCTTGCAATACAGCCACGAACAAGGGTCACGGGCACGTACGCAGCCGTGTGCTCTCTTGGGACTGATACACCCAGCACACCGGCTGGCTGGAAGCACAACGCTGCTGAAATTTTTGCAGCAGAAGAAAAACTGGCTTTCACTAGCTCTTGTCCAGATATTAAAGGAATTCATACAGCATCTTCCTGGACCTAACATACATCCACCGGTATCAGAGAATGCCCCTAACACCTCACCTTAGCCTACAGGAGCGAAGCTCATTCCAGCCAGTTTCGCCACGCAGAAACTATTTCATCTTCCACGGCACGAACTAGTGAGCAGGAATCTGACAGTCTTTGCCCACTGTGTAACAAGTTTTGCAGAAAATGGAGTTCAAAGGGAATGACAGAGAATACCACCATCCAAAACTGCCACAGAGCTTATGATACCGAACTGTACCTGTTCCAGCAGAAACTTGTGTATCAGTGTCTGTCAAACCACAGAATCCATCTGCATTACTAGGGGATTCAAGAGCACAGAGCTGTTGCAGCTGCAGACATCTACCAGGGCGGCAACAGGTAATGAAGGTGAGGATGACGTGCAGATAACTGCAATGAAGATCTGGAGGAGTGGGAGATCTTGTCTGAAATACATGCTTGTCTCCTAGAGCCTCTCAGGATATCTAGCACGCTTTCTTCAAACTAAAGTAGCTGTGATATATTTAAGTAAGGAGTTGGTTTTAGCTCCTTACTTCTATTAAAAATATCTTTCGACCAATAGAGGGTAAAATTCAACCATTATAATGAAAAAATAAACATATTCTCAAATAGACTGTGTCATTATTAAGGATGATAACACCTACTCATTTATTACATCTGAAGAAAACCCATATATGCAGAAGATTTTCTGAAGAGGAAGATGCACTGAGATGTGCCATCGTAAGTGGTACCAAAGCTGAAAATTTTTATCAGGCTCATTGACTAAACAAACCTCACGCAAAACATAGGTCAGGTTGTCTGTGAATTTTTTCATTGCCTGTGTCTGGAATAGGAGAGGTGCTGTTCAACCTGCTGCTTTGGAAATCTCTAAAGGACTTAATTCTCCCTGCACCCAAGGCAGAGGAGTCGGCAGCCCTGGGCCAGCCTGAACTCTGAGACCTTCTGGAAATCTCAAACTTCCCCTTCTGGACTCAGACAACTCCAGTTCCCTGAGGGTTTGTTGAAGTGGGACATGAAGCATATTTCAAGCTCACGCCCCTCTCAAGCACTTTAAATCCCGTGACCGGCACCAGGCTGTGCTGCAGATGAGCCCAGGACATGGTGCTCTGCCCAGCCCTGGCCCAGCGCAGCGGGAGCACCAGCACCCCTGCAGACCTGCTGTCTTCTCCCTGCTCTTGGGGACGTGTGGGGCATATTTCATATCCCTGAGAGAATAATTTTAAAGCATGGGGTAAGGAAGGCTGGCCCCAGCTTCCCACACCATCTTATAAATGGTGCTTCACTAAGAAAGCCCCAGGATATAGTGCTCTGGCTCTAAAGCAGAGGTTATCCTGATAGACGGTTGCCTGTTGGGGTCTGTAACAGCAAAGCCTGACACAAGGGTCAAGACAACACAGGTTATAAAACATTCAGATTTATTTTACATAGGATGCATGATCCCAAAATGTGAGCTACTGCTCCTCTGAATTCCATACTCAGACAATCTTTATTAATAATGTTCAAGGAAAATATTATCAAGATGGGAGAGTCCAGCTCTAACCCTATCTCCCCTCCTACCCCAACTCTCTGAAAAATAACAACTGCACTTTGATGCTGGAAAAAGAGATGGAGAACGAGAATCTACAATGAGGTGTGAACCCTGGGCCCATGCTACCGGGCTCAGCAGATGCGTTACCACCCTCCGCCCTGCCACCCTAAAGCTCAGTGGGCACACTGTCCCACAAGACCTCGGCTGGTGGCGGAAGAGCCTGCCAGATCCTGACATGGAGCCAATCTCTCTGCCAGGAAGACCCAGACAACTAAAATCTGCAGGGCGTTTTCCCGTGAAGGAACCTCTTGTGCAGCATTGCGACACACACACCACAAAATGCCTTTTGAATACGTAAGGGAAGAGGACAGTGTCACACCAACGCAGTTCGCATACTGATACAACCTCTGAAGCCCCCGGCAGCCTGCTGTGAATTGCTGAACGCTCTCTGCTCATACTGATGGCCACGGAAATCCCAGCTCTGATTTTCCCAGGAGTTAAGGGAACGCTCGATACCTCTCTGGATCAGGTATCTGATCAGTGCAAGCCAAACTGGATGTTGCCTTATGAATCAGAAATTCAGGGTCACACTCAAAGGGTAGGAGGTCAAGATTAAAAACTGAAAGCAGCTGTGTACTTGCAGACTAATTTTGACAGTTCTCGGAACACCTGACTTTGTTATTGTTACTCTGTGGGGTTTTTTTGCTTGTTTGTTTTGTTTGTTTGTTTGTTTGTTTTTTACAAAGCCGGGAGAGAAGTAAAAGGCACAGCAACGAGACGGGTTAAAATAAGCACATGCATTCCAGAAGGCAAAATTTCAGTCAACCATGACTCAGGAGAAGAAAGTGCCACCCACAGAGCTGCACAGGCCGCAGCTCCCTGTACCACGGCAGCGGGCAGTGATGCCGCGGTGAGTCAGGAGCCACCCACGCCCCCACCCACGCCGCTTCCTGCGGCGGCAGGGCACTCCTCAGAGGGCTGCCACGCGGCGCGGGTCTCGCTCAACCCTTCCTTAGCATATGAGACGTGACAGGAACAGAGCCCTGGTGTGTTTGGCCGGAGACGTCTGCAGCTCGCCCTCGCTCCCACTTGAAGCCAGGCCAGGGGATTCCCTCTGCGCAGTTATCAGTATTTCTGCGCTGAAAACGTCAATGAATCCCCATCTGTCGCAAGAGAGAGGCACCCAGAGCTTAGGAGCTCTGTCACTTGGCTTCGGACGGTTGTGACGGTGATGAGCTGGGATCACCTTAGCAGGACTACAGCAATACAGCTGCGATGCTGCTGCTTAACACAGCTGCTGTGAAAGACAGTTCACCCGCTGCTGTTAATACTGCAACACATTAGCATCAGCATTCTTCACTACCTTTCTCTACCTTCATGATGGGTTTCGTGGCAGAGATATGCCCTATAAAATCCAGCACAGCAGCTACATGAGGATGAGGCTCAAAATACATTTCACCAAGCGACAGCACATAAACCCTGCTACAGAGCAGGCTGCTGCCCGATATTTCTTTGAGAGGCAGCGATCATCATTTTAACACAGTAATTGAGTTGGCTGCCCAAGTGCCAGGTTTCATAGTTCATATAGAAATTCTAGAGCTCTCTAATCCTGGATCATATGCTGCAGCCAAAACGCAAAAGTAGGAGTGAGGCAACAAGCCGAACAAGGGGCACCTGAGAAAAGGGCATGAAATGAACAACTGGAGGCTGGATTTCCCGTGAGCATAAAAACCCCTCTATCATGGTATACTCACCGTCCTGTAATTCAGTATTTCTAGCATGTGGACTGCCCTTCTCGGTGCTATTCCATGTCCTCTTCCGCACGTGTAGCAAACAGCCACCTTGCCCTAAAAACCACTTTGGACTGGAAAGCCTGTCCGCAGCATGTCCTTAGCTGTGCTGCTTTCTCCCTGGATGTCCTTACCTTCTTGCAGAGAACCATCTGGTGATCAAAGAGAAAGAAAACACGCTGCTGGTTCCGTCCATAAGGCTGGTAAATCCAGGACATCTCTCCCGTGTAGATCAACTCTGAGCTGCGGTCCAAGATATCATCTCCCTAGAGGGCACAGAGAATGAGGCCGAGTGAACCGCCGCTCCCAGCCAGGGCAGTGGCTACATTTCCCTTTGCAGGATGGGGAGAAGCAATAATTAAATAAGATGTTGGCCCTTCTGCAGCGCTCAAAGCCACCCCATCTGACTTCAAACCATAAACTAGAAATAGGGGATAATTCTGAAGGAAGAGAAATGAAGTAAGTGTGGACACTCGAAGCACGGTCATTACGGTTCACACTGCAATGAGGAAAAGAGCTGCTCCGGACACTGACCCCGTTCCCCCCTCTCCAGGCACCCCCAGACCCTGGATCTCGCTGCAGGTGCTGGTGGCGTCCTGAGAGCGAAGCGTCTTCCTCCTGCCCACAACAGAGCAACTTTGCATTCAGGGTAACAAATTCCCTGGCACCCCCTCCCTTTAAGACAGCATCCCAAGGCACGTCCCCTCCTGAAATCTCAGGCCAGCTACCGAAGATCATCTACACTGGGATATCAATTCCCCCACCCAGGAGGCTGCCAAAACTCACCCCTCCAGATTGTCACATCTCTTCCCACTCGTTCAGGCAATTACAGTCCCTTCTCCCATAGCTCATTAGAGCTCCCCACCTCCAAAAAACTGTCAGGACCACCCCAGCTCTCTGGCAACCTCCGGCCCCCCCGGCTGGCAAGGCCTCCCCGGCCGGCTGCCAGAATGCCCTCACCCTTTCTCTGCCTCCGGCTAACACTTGTTTTCCTCTCCAATTTTTTTTTAAGGATTCATGAGCAGATGGTCTTGAAAACACAGCACTCTCTCTCCCACTCTCCGAGAGAACAAATGCAGTCACCCTCCACTAATTGGGATGAGCTGGACTTTTTAAAAAGTTAATTAAAATCTATTTATTAAAAATAGGTGAATTCACCACCACCTGCCCTGTGGGCATCTCGGTGCATCTCACTCAAACACCACAGAAGGACTCAGGATGACTTCAGCTAAAAGGTAAGGAGCAGGATTCAGGAGCAAGTGAGAGAAAAGCTTTTTTTTGGCTCTGAAACTAGTGCAGTTCTGGCTTTGATATCAATGTAGAACCAATTTCTGGGACAAGACCATTCCAAAATCTCAGCAAACAGCTTGCAAAGGTTCAGCCAGCTATGGGGGGCAGCTAGATAGACACGCTTCTCTGGTACCGCTTACACTTGTAGGTGCCAAAGCAACCGAGAGTCATCCCCACTCCTAATTTCTTGCTGAGGATTTCAGACTGCTGTTCAGGTAAATGTGTAATTAACCTCTCAGCATTGATTGGAAGCGACTCCCTGAGTCCCTGGGCCCTGTGACAACAGCAACTTCATTAAGTCGCTGCATCATCATGCTGCAGCACAGACTTCCAAATCGCCTTAGCGAGGTCTTTATCCACCTCTCCATCTCACTTCCGTGGCTGTGGTATCTGAAGGCCTAATTAGGGATCACTTCCCAGGAACACAGAGGGTCATTCCCAGAGGGGATGGGCCGTGCATCATGCAGTGTCTCAAGAGTGCGATGTCAGGGTCCCATTTCAGCCCTGATACCTCCTGGCCAGAAATCGGGGACCCGTGCGCTGCTGTGACAGCTCAGGTACACGCAAGCCCTCGCACAAGAAGCCTCTGAAGAAAACACGTCGGCTCCACAAACTGTGGGCTTTCCTGGTTAAACACGAGCTTATATGGAAAAGATTCATACAAGCCTATGGATGGGAGCTTTTATGAGAGGGGACAAGAAGTCTAGAAGAGGCTGGCTGCTAAAAACAGAAAGCCAGTTTTGTCTTTTACTCCCGTGGTAGCATCTCAAGCCTGAGGACACACGGAGGACTCTGTAAACACTTCTACTTGATTAGCCGAATCCAAACTGTGTAGTCCCTGCAAGCAATATAAAACAAAAAAAAATTCAAAACTGAAATGATAGGATTTGTATTGCATTTTTTATGTTGGGAAAACAATTTATATATACAGTCTAGAGGCTAGAAATAGATGCCTTAGAATGCTGGGTTAACAAATTTGGAAATATATATTGCAAATAGTTTTGGACTAGCACAGGGCTGGCCAGCCTTCAGCCCTCAAGAGCAGCATCTCCACGGCCCTGCCTGTTCCTCAAGCCCTCGGCTGCTACAGCAGTACACCGGCGCGGATGCGCCGCTAGAGCGGACGCGATGAACCTTGAAAGGCATTTTTTTTCCCGACACAGCTACACCACCTCTCTGAACAGCACGAACTGTCTTCTGCTAGTGGAGCCTTCCTACCGGGGCGGCTCAGGGGGTCAGCTGCAGGGTGGTGGGCAAGGAGCGAAGCGTTTGCTTTTCTGCTCCACTGCTACCCCAGCATGCCTCGATACTTGGTCCTGACTTGGGGCAGGCTTTCTGCAAGGCCCTTCCCAGTCCTAGGCCTGGATGCCTCCAATCCTATACAAAACTAGGAAGACGTTTTCTTTTCCTTTTCCATTTTTTGCCAAGCAGCTCCCAGAGAGGCAGGATCACCTATATCCTTCTGTAAGTTAAGAGAAAGACTGCTAAAAAAGGAAGAAGCTGAACTTTTAGTTACACTGAACTGGCAGATGTCCTCCTGACTTCAGCAGAGCACAGCGGCAAAATGGCCAAGAGAAGACTAGATGACCTCCTGAGGTCTCTTCCAACTTGAGTTACCCTATAAGCCTATAATAAAAAACCTCAGCCCTCCCCAGCCTGCATCAAGGGCTTCCAGTGTGCATCCTGCTACCTACAAAGAGCAGCAAAAAGCAAGCCGACTCCTCTTTTCTTCATGCAGTCACAGGCAGAGTCCAACTACTTGGTGTGCAGTAAGGGGAGCAGGTCACCCACAGCTAGGTTGGACGTGCTTCATGCCCCCTCGAGCTTGCCAGCGCTAGAACAGGGCTAATCCTGACTGCTGCAGCAGAGGGTCTGCTCCCCAATTACGCTACAGGTGACGGCCACTTTCTGTAACGAGGAACTGGGAGGAACCGAAGGGTTTTTACCAGTGTCGTGAAAGAAACGCTGTTGGGAGCACCAACACGAGGGAAGGCACGGCACCGCGAGCTGCGGCACGTTACACCTCCCAGTCTGCCCCGCTCCTTCCTCCCATGAGCAAGCGCTGTCCCAGGCTCAGAAACGCTCACCAGCCCATGGGACCCGCTCCCCTGCGCCCGAGCCCACCGCCTGACATGGCTCTTTGCTGTCACCGCTGGGCACAAATCCCCTTTACTAGTTAACATTCAGCGAGCAGGGCTCTCTTCTGCCTGACACTGCTGTTCTTTAATTAGAGATTGACAGGCTGATTAGCACTCTGGGCTATGGAAAGATCAGAAAAAGGAAAGCGAGAGAAATGTTGTCCTTTTCATCAGGCTCATTTTTTGATACCTTCTGTTGCTGGCGGGGGGGGAAGGAAACCAGAAGAATTAAAAAAAGAAGGATCTGTTTCAGTCCCTGATGCAATTTTTTTCCCAGGAGGATTTCTCATCAGGCTGTCCTCACTTTGAAAACACTCCGTTGGTTGCATACATCTTTTTTTTCATGTCATTCTTGGATGGAATAACGTAATATTAGGCTGAGGCCAACTATTATATATTACATAATTAAGGGCACCAAGTCTTAATTTAAAGGACCTGTAAATAACAAGAATGGGAAGACATTTAAAAAGACAGTGCTCATTATATTTCTCAATTACATATATTTTTCCCTTCATGTAAATTTAATACTCTTGAAACCTGCCAAAGTGGCAACCCATGGGAATCTTTGGTAGCAATATCTAGTTATCTACATAAACCAAAGTAATCTGTTTAAATAGCAAGTTTAAACCAATCCAGGCTGATGAGCAAGGCTCTCTCCTGTGCCAA